TGCCAGAGTTCTGTCAAAGCTGTCTTTGCTGGCAGGCACTTCCCGAAGGGGTGCATTCTCCTTGCTTGGAGGCGTGAACGTATGTGAAGTCTGTGTACAGACGGCTGCAAGATACCGCATCACAAGGATAGACATTGTAAGTCGTGCGTACAGAAGATGTCGCAGCAGCATTGGCATTAGCTTTCACCAGGCATTTCCTTGTCAGTCCGCGCACGCGCCTCACAACAAAGTGAAGGAGAGTGGTTGTGCACCATGCATCACAAGTTGCGCGTATTTGCAGACAGAAATCTAAAGCTTTGAAGGTTCTGGAGGCCTTGGCAATGCAGTATCCTTTATTACATTGGGGTTTTCTTGCTGGGCAAAGATTGCTCAGGTGGCGGCGTGCATGTCGGTGGATCATTCCGCCAAGCGCTGGGCAGTTCCGCACGTTTCCAGAACTGCCGATCATCTTCCTGCGGACCTGGGGCAGCACTTGGTATCGTGAATGATTGCCAGCAAACTCAGTGTAAATAGAGCGGCCAATTGGAGCCAGGGAAGCAATGGCATCCTGCTGCAGAGTGCACCCTCAAACTGCCGAGCTGTGTTGAGGAATTGCCGTTGGCACTATGCAGGGTTGGCCGCATGTGCATTGAATTCGGTTAACGGCTGTTGCTGCTCAGGCGGTGGTCTTGACGTCCATGGCAGTATCTTTCAAGAGGATAGTTCCATCTTCGTGGAGAACTGCACAGCAAAGTCACATGGAACCACAGCAGCAAATCAGATTGCCTTCCATGCCAAACAACTTGAGGCCTTTCAGTGCACTGGAGCTTGCTGTATTTCCACACTTCTCCTAGTTGTAGTCATAGGCTTCTGGAGGGTTGGAGTCACAGCTATCTCGAAGGCATCCAGTCTCCGATGTTTCTCGCGCAGCTGGTCAACATCACCATTTATCCTATGTTTGGCCCCTACAGTCACAGGTTGGGCCCCACTTAGAGCTGGCTCAGGTGGCGGTGTGACTGTTGGAGCAGCATTCCACCAAAAACCAGGAAGCTCTGCACACTTCCGGAACTGCACGGCACAGGATAATGGAGCCGTGACTGCATTCGGGGCAGCCTTTGGCACCGTGTGTTGTCGTTGTTTGTTTGACATGAAACATTGCTGAACTCAGGCGGGGGCCTTGACGTTGAGCACGACGTCATCCAGGAGAAGAGTGTCATTCTGGCGCAGGAGTGCTCAGCAGAATCACATGGAGCCGCGGCAGCAGATATGCTGCACGCTTTGTCACCGCCTTCCTTGCCAAGTGATGTAGGGCCACGCTTTAAACAATCAGTGCCAATCTGGGGATTGCTGTAGGTCATTGTCTAATGCACCTTGTGCCCTGTGCTTATCTTGCAGGAAGTGGCAATGCTGAAGGGTTTGGTCTAAGGGACGTAGTGACATACTAATAGCTTCAAGTCACTTCCACGGGTGGTGATGAGGAGGCCTTCGCTTCTGGGACGTCCTGAGACATGCCATCAAAGAAATTAGATTGCCGAGGTGGCGGCGTGCGCGTCAAGCGATCATTTCGCCAACAGCCGGGTAGTTCTGCACACTTCCAGAACTGCAGAGCAGAAAACATGGGCGCCAGGGCAGCAATGCATTCTGCTGCCAGGTGTCTAGGCCTAGGCTGTAGAATTGTTGTTGGCACTATGCAGGGTTGGCACGCATGTGCACTGAATTCGGTTAACGGCCGTTGCTGCTCAGGCGGTGGTCTTGACGTCCATGGCAGTATCTTTCAAGAGGACAGTTCCATCTTCGTGGAGAACTGCACAGCAAAGTCACATGGAACCACAGCAGCAAATCAGATTGCCTTCCATGTGGCCATGCAGAGTACTCTCACCAGGCTTGCCTTGCCAAATGATGTGTGGTCATGATTTGAGTCTTGAGCTTCAATCCGGGGCTGGTAGTCCCTTAATTTGGGGGCCTGACCAAAGGTCCTGGGGACATGGGTATGGCTTCCGGCTTGCTTAGGAAACATGGATGTGAAAAATGTTCCCGAAAACAAGCAAATGCATGTTTTCGGGAACGGCTGTTTCCCACAAGGCCTGGCAGCTCTACAGTCTCGAGTTTTGTTTCAGACCCTTTTTTTCAGCAGCACAGGGGGAGACGGTGGTGGTTGTCGTGAGGAAATGCCATTCCGGTTCAGATAAAGGATTGCGACCAAGACCCATTACAAAGTGCACCCCAGATGTCTGACATGTTTGCAAGCAGCCGCCACGATCATTGAGTCATGATCCACCCGTCTCATGATGGAAGCCACATTCTAGACTAAGGTGGTGGGCTCCGTGGCGGTGGAAGTGTCTCACAGGATGTGAACAGCTCCCTCCGGGCAGAGAGCTGTTCAGCACGATACGGATGCGTGGCAGCATGATGATGCGACTTTTGATATTGACGGTGCAGTACGGTAGCTGTGTGGCAATCGGGGTGCAGTGAGAGTTTTCAACAAACGCGGCTGGAGCATGGCCCCCTGGGTTTCTTGCTGCAGTTCCCGACCGAAGTGTACGGTGCTTTGTACTTAGGCTTGAAAGAGGCTTGGTGTCAGGGGTTCTGGCACAGTTCCAGTTGATGGCCAGAGTCCTGCAGTTCTGCGCCAATGCGAAGACGTCTGGCTCGTTTGGAGTTGATAGGGTTCGGCAGACCTGAAGGTGAGGCCCAATTCACTTTTGAGTGACAGTGGGGGCCATGCACGAAGACAACTCTGAAGAAGCCCTGCAACTGTGAAGACATCTCCCAGGGCAAAGATGTTTCAGGTGGCGGTGTGCACCTTGACGGATCCTTCCACCAGGCGCTGGGCAGCTCCGCAGACTTCCGGAGCTGTGAGGCCATCAAATCAGGAGCCAGGGCAGCATGAAGCATCTTCTTGTTTCTAAAAATCTCCTATTACGTGGTGTAGGAAGCAGAAAGAGTGTCAAACGCACAAGCGAATCTAGACGTGTACCATGATGCTTTCAGAGACCAGGCACCTTTGGAAGCGCGAATGCAGGCAGTCGACACGATCCTTGAGTCATCATCCCGCCATCTCATGATGGAAGCCACATCCTAAAGTAAGGTGGTGGGCTCCGTGTCCATGGAAGCGTTTCACAGGATGTGAACAGCTCCCTCCGGGCAGAGAGCTGTTCAGCAGGATTTGGACGCATGGCAGCAAGATGATGCGGATTTTAAAGGGCGGTGCGCTGTGGGGCCTGGGTTCTTTTAAGTAGCATATTTTTTGTATCAGCCAAGGTACTACAGGCATCTCAAATTTAAGTAAAGTTGAGTTCTCAAGTCTTGGGCTTCTGAACTTCTTCTTTTCTCTACATAATTCCTGCGTAAATGTGTTTCTAATTTCAGTTGGAATTGGCGCTTATTCAGAATAATACATCTATTGGAGACCATGAGAATATTCGTGATAAGGGGCTTATAAATAGAGAAAGAAGCCAAAAATGTGACATTAGGTAGTTAGATGCAAGGCATATTTCATCAAGAACTGATACATAGAAAAATGACGAGAACAGAAGCCCAGGAGT